AGGACCCGAGAAGGACGAATATGATTTCAGTTGATGAACTGAACAAAAAGCATGTGAGATCATGTGAGATTGTAGAGAACTGTATGAAACCCTATGACACCCAACGAAGCCCTTCTAAATCAACCTGCCAAGACCGTTCAAAGATGACTGCAGCATTACACAACACCAGAATTGGCCAATCAATCAGCGTTCGCTAAAATACTAAAGCAGCCCTTGACGGGCTCCGTTCAGGGATCCTTTGAGGGTTGTATAGGGGTTGAGTGGTTTCGGTCTTTTGGGGGTTTAGGGATTTACGGGTTTGGGTGATCCCACAACCGCCCGGAGTCGTCCTTGCAACGCATGGCAAGCTGCGGCACGAAGCTCTTCCACATACCCATGGCCCAAGACCCAACCCTAAACCATAATTAGCCCTCAAACCTAAACCCCAAAACCCTACACCCTCAGACCTAAGCCCTAAACCCCTGAACCCTAAACCCTCAAACCTAAACCCTTCGGGGCGTAGAGTTCTTTCTGAATGGTGGGGTGCGAGCGAGCTGCAGAGCACAAAGCCAGGAAGCCGATGCCCTCATGAAGAGGTTTACGCAAGACTTGATATTGCAATATATATATATATATATACACAGTCCAGAACTCTCTCTCTCTATATGTATGTCTGTATGTGTATATGTATGTAACTACCTTTTGTATTTCCATGACATTATCTAAAGCCTTAAGCCTGGCCACCCAAAATCCTACAGAAAACAACATAATACGAGCCTGCGTTTTCAGGGTTAAAGGGCAAGAGGTATTGATATATATTATCTTTTTCGGGTTTGCTGGGAGATGCACTGGCTTCGAGTTTACCTTATTCATAGCCTTTGCGATCATGTTTCATGTTGAATACAGCAGCAAGGAATGAACACAATGTCTACATATAGTTATATATACATATATTTATATATTATATATACAATTCACGAAGATACTAAATATGTGAGCATTCCAAGGTGCAAGGTGTAGTTGTAGCATCATTAGGAGACCCTGGGTGGGGGGGCAAAAACAATGATAAATAGAATATCTTTTTCTTTGCCGACCCCACCCCTCGTCTGAGGCTAAGAAAGAGGCGAAGCAAAGCAAGTTCATTTCCATTGCACAAGCAGAAAGAGAAGCCTGGTGCCATGACGAAACCAGTCACACGCATCACTTATGACATGAAGGACTTTCTGGATTCCTGTGTTGAGCGGTATTGTGAGCTTGCCAAAGTTGCGCGCAAAACCCTGAAGCCAGCTGCAACCCCCTTTCACGAACTGCGTGTGGCGTTGCCGACAGCATCTGAAGGGGAGAAGGCAGGGCGGTTGCAACCGATCGCAAGTAAGGTGTTGATGAAAATTTTATTTGCCGCTCGCATGGCAGGATGGGATCTCTTGAGGGCAACGCAGTCTTTGGCGTCGAGGGTGACCAAGTGGAGTCCGGGTTGCGATTTAGGACTCACCGTTTGGTTTGCTATATTAACTCTTCGCTTGACGTCACCATGAGTGGGTTCATGGGTGACCGCAGACTTTGGTTGTTCAGTGATTCCGACTTCGCGGGTGAGTTTGACTCAAAGTCAACAACTGGGTGTGCGATGTTTCTGGTTGGGCCAAACGCGTACTTCCCACTAAACGCCTTTAGCAGCAAAAAACAGACTTCGATCACCATGAGCTCTACTGAGTCCGAAGTCGTAGCGGCAAACCATGGTTTACGTGCCGAAGGAATGCTCGCTGCAGGTCTTGGCCTCAGCGTCCACGCGACGCAGGGCCGTCAGTGTTTGTGCGCATGTACGTTTGTATTTGTACTATGGGCACATTAACACATATTAGCAAATATTTTCAGTAAAGCAACAACGTACAGTATGCAAGCTGTCTATGTGTTGCTACTGTACTCATGTCTCTTTTCGCATTACAGTTGCGCCGCGAGCATAAGATGTTATCGCATGCCTCATGTGCATGTTGCTGCAGGTTTGCAAAAGTGTATTTTCAGCCATCGTCAGTAGAGATAGTTCGCAGAATGGCTCGACGCAGATCGTGGGGCATCGATAGATGCAAATGCAAGAAGACAAAAAGCAGCAGCCAGAGTAGTGGTTCCATTGCGACGACGACACAGAAAATCGCTGTCAAAAAGACTGTGAAGGATTTTGTGTCAGAATCCCAGCTCCACGGACAAGGACATTGGAAAGAAACAGCTTGAATTGGAACTTGAGAGAATGAAGATAGCACGTCTACGAGCGGAAGCACAGGCGCGGGAAGAAAAGGAGAAAATCAAGTTACTTAAAGAGCATCGCAAAGGTCATCAATGGCAGTATTGGAGCCATTCGCAGAAGTTTCACTGTTCGCGCGAAAACCATAAACATCCATAAACAGTCGAAGTCTGTAAAGAATGCGAAGAATTGGCATTGGCGCAAGTATCATAACGACATCTTTCCAGACGAAAAATTCTTGTCTGCACGGAATGACGGCATGAACTAGGAAATCGCAAGCGCGAGTTTTTCTTCTGTTTGTAGCATTTTCCCGTGCCTGAAAACTCCACATTATGTTGGATTGCTTTAGTAGAAATCGTCTTGAGGAGGCACTACGAGTATCATCTAAAGTTAACAAGTGCACATGCATACATGCGCGGACACGCACTTTTGCACAAGCATTTACGTTTGAACATGTTTCAAAACAGCCGCACACGCATGCGCGAATACATATGCGTGTATGCACATGTAAAACATCACATGCCTTGTATATTAAATTATACCGAGCAAATACAGGTATGTTGTTCCCTGTCCCCCTGTCCCCTGTCCCCCTGTCTCCCTGTCCCTCTGTCCCCCTGTCCCCCTGTCCCCCTCCCCCTGTCCCCTGTTCCCTGTCCCTCGTCCAGCGAGGGGTCTGGGAACACGGGGCCGTCCTGAGTCCAGCGCTCGGTGCGGGAATCGAGGGCATGAGATATCGAACCCTAACAGGAGATGGTTTATGTGCTTGCCTGTGGTGATATCACAGTGGGCGGGCTTAAGAGAACTTCCGGCTTCATCGAGTTCTGTAACAAATGCAAGAATGAAGCCGTCCTCTGTTTATAGCGGATCTGTGCATCCCGGGTCGTCCTCTGTCCACTGCTCGGTGCGGGAATCGAGGGCATGAGATTTCGAATCCTAACAGGAGATGGTTTATGTGCATGTCTGTGAGGATATCACAGCGGGCGGGCTTAGGAGAACTTCCGCCTTCATCGAGTTCTGTGACACATGCAAGAATGAGGCCTTGATGCTGGATATGCCGCCATTCACAAGCCCGGCTATGAGGTCATTTTGCCCTTGACATACGGCGGCCACCACCGAATAGTTCCGCTTTGCACCTAACACGCTCCTAGCCATTACAAGCAGAAGGAGTTCGAGACAGTACACATGCCTGAGCAGCGCATGGATGCGAGAGTATGCTCTGCGTTAATCAAGTTGATCGTTCAATATTTGTAGGCACCAACAACATTATAGTTGCTGTGATGCGATAATTGCAAGATGCGGCGGATGCGACACGAGACGAATGCCGTGGTCCACAGCCGTGCCACCATGGCCTGAGTTTCATGAGGCATGTTCAGTGGAACTTGCTGTATTCGATTTCCTCCCGCAGCACGCTCTATACAAGGTAGTCGAGGGCAAGTAGCAATCGCTTTGAGCTATCCAGTACGATGTCGTTTCCCCTTAGAGATGGTGGACTCCAGGCGGTCAACATTCCGAGAACCCAAGCAGAGCGTGTTCATGCTCGCAGAACGGCAATATGGCGGCTCGTGGATAACAATGCCTATATGTTCGACACATATCCAGACCTACATCGGCTCTTGCCTGACCCTTTGAGCAGTATGCTTAGCAAACGTGCAATCCTAAGCCCCACGAACCACAGCCCGACAGGTTCCAACCTAAGCCCTGTACACCACCCAGGGACTCCAACATCCCTTAAGTAAGGAATATACCGTGAGTCATACATTAGGGACCCCAAGATACCTTAATTAAGGAATTATTATGCCTCAAATTATAGTAGGATCCCTAATATGATTGAAGGTATATTCCTTAATTAAGGGATATTGTAGTGTTTAGGTATTGTATGCCCAGAGTTACACCCGACCAGAAAGAGTGTAGGACCCGCGCAACTCGCTTGCTACCGTGGCACCGTACCTGTCGTTTCAGATGCCAGCCTTGTTCAGATTTGGAGCAGGAGTGTTACACAGAGAGCCCAATACCTCTTAATTAAGGAATATACCTTAAACTAGAAGGGGGTTCATATTATCATTTAAGCTATATTCCTTAATTAAGGGGTATTGGGCTCTCTGGGTACGGAGTCCAGGATTTTGGGCGGTGTTGGCAGGATCTAGAATTGCCAAGGTCTAAGGTTCAGGTTTCTAGAGTTGGCTTTAGCAGCTACGGGGATCAATAGTTAGGTTTGAGGCGGTAGACCCGGCACAGGCGATTCATGCGGGATTTGTGGTTGTCCTAAGCCTTTCAGTACAGGGGTTCAGATGAGTAAAACTTGCACGAACGGGAGCAACATCGGCTGTCTTCGAATACTGGTGATGCCAACGAACCCCAAGATTGAGAGCACTGGGAGCTGCACGAGAAGCAGTAATCGCAACGATGTGGCTGTTCATATAGAGATCCCATTTGCAGTCGCTTGCAAAGAAACATTCCTCCAGCGCTGCAGCTTTGTAGCTTTGCTGGGTTCGGCTGTGGGTTTCTGGAGCCTTCTGTCGATGTATACCAGGAACGTGCTCTTAAGTACTAGGTGTGTAGTCTCGCAGGCTTTAGAATGACCCAAATAGCAGGACCCTTCCAAAACGGCCAATACAACACAGAAGGCTTCAATTCAAACCAGAGATGCTCAAATCTAAAACGTGAAACCCTAAACCCCAAGTAATTTGGGTCACAAAAGGTTACAGGCCTTATTGGCGTTGCATCGGTTTCGGGTTGAAGCAAAGACGTCGCGCTGTCAAGGATATGGCGGCATACCTCCGTCCAGATGCCTGCAGTGAGACCACTTTCGCTGTACGCTCAGCAGCCTGGCGTCACATCGTGTGCCCAAGACTAAACACCCCGACCTTTTCCACCCTGACAAGCACATACGAGGCTTGCCGACAACGACATTCCGAGTTGGTGTAAGATATCGGAATACCTTCTACTAGTATCCATTGTTTCATGTTTACATGTATTTGGATAGGGATAGGTTCCTTGAACTTCGTGCACGGACAGACGCCGAGGCCCGTCACATACAGCGGTGGGAATTCTACGACGGTGCTGCTGAACAGACGATGCCCAGTTGAAGACTAGCCATGTCCCTTCTACCCTAACTTAAGGGTATGTGGCCCTTGTGTCTGGCTTCTAACAGCAGGAATTTCGGCTTTACTAGAGGGTGAGGAAGTTGAGGGACGGTTCGGACTGTAACTTGGGAGATTCCATTCTGGAGGTTTCTCTTCAAGTGATGGCTCGAGCGAAAGGCCCCAGGCCATCCTGGTTGGGCATGACAGGGTGAAGAACCTTCATCTACCCCCTTAGTTCCATGTAAACCTGCAGAAACACTTTCCAGTTGCGAGCACAGACTGCCTACTCAAGGGTGCGGTTCCTGCTGAGCTTTTCCATGGTTGCAAAAATGCAAGGCTTGCGTGTTTTGGTAGCTCGTTCTGCACTGGTTTTGTTTGCCGGTTCTGTTTGCCGATTTGGTTGAGACTCATGGAGTCTCTTTTGAAAGGTCAGCTGCGGGGATTTTGTTGTTAGCTTTTGTGGCTTCAGATCGCCACATAGGGTGCAGCCCAAACTCTGCGGCCCAAACCCGAACCACAAACCCAAACCCCCAAACCGAGAACCATACACCAAAAGCCCACAAAAGTGACGGGTCATAAAACCCTAAGCCGCAGTGTGGTACTCTTGTAGAATCCCAACAGACCCACAAAGGCCAACACTCCGGAACAGGGGATATACACCGGAAATGTAGGGGAACAATTTCCAATGATCTAAGGATATCATATTCGCCGAAACCCTAAACCGTTAACCCTAAACCCCTAACCCGTAAACCCCTAAACTAAACCCCTAAACCCTAAATCCTCGGCAGCTCTAGGTTGTAGGCGTGAAAAAGCAGACAATAGCCCAGCTAAGGACCGGTGCTCTTTTGGAACAGGCGGTGGTTTGGGGAAAGGGAGTATTGTTCAGGGTTCAGGGTTTGGGACTCTAGTTGATCAGGTATAGGCTATGGTACTATAGGGTTTTAGATTCAGGGACTCGGGTTGGGGGTGTAGGGTTTGGCGGTTCAGGGGCTGTTGAAGCATCAGGCTGTGGGCATTCCCAAACCTTTTTGCCCATCCTGCATACATCTTTTACCATCTGTGGCCCTGTCTCTCGTGCTTGGGACTTGCACTCGGGTTGCAATCAGGTTTAGGGTTGAGGGTTTAGGGTACTGCACAAGATGCCGAAACCCTGTTCGAATTGCCGAGGCCTATCACAGAATCCAAGAAGAACAGAAAACCCTGCAAACGCTGTGGCACCCTTAGAAATTCCCTGTGAAGCCCGACTCAACTTCTCGAAAGGCCTAGTTTTTAACCTTGGATCTTACAACGCTTCTTTAGAGACTATTCTGATGATTTGGCCCAGGCTATTCTGATTATACATCTGGGCTCGGCCGTGAGCTGTGAAGCTCCTTCAAAACAAAACAGTTGTTTTGTTTCTGATAGTCTTGGTCTCACACTGATTGAAGCCCTCATCGCCTGAAGGCAGGTGCTCTTCAACTCTCTCGCCGAGCTGAATAGCGTGAACCTTCGGCACTTGGCTCAAGCTGAGAAGACGGATTGTACAGTATAGGTGTAGTACGAGATGGAGGTGGATGATCCCAATCACGAGGTTGATCATGTTCATGACGATGCTAGTTGCTGCTAGTTATGCAATGAAGAGGATGGACAACAAGGGTACAGAGATCAGCGCTTCAAGAAGTTGTAGGCTCAACGGTTAGTCAGATAAACCCTAAACCCTAAAACCCTCAACCACCAAGTCCTACCTGGACCCCCAAAGCATGTAGAATAAGCACCATTTTTTCCTAGGTATTGGGCCGTTAGTTTATACCTACTCTCGGGGGTGTAGGTAAAACCTGAACCCTACATTTTCTGAGACCCTCAACGCCTGAGAGCCCGAACCCGAAGGTTTCGACACGTCACGGAGCTCACGGACAAGAGCTTTGGGAATTGGCTCTCCCACCGTGCTGGAGCCGGTTAGAGGGTTGTTTAGGGTTTAGGTTCAGGGTTTCGACACGAGTTTAAGACGCTGATGTTTTTTTGCGCGGCTCAAACTAGCCCAAAGCGACGCATGGAAGCTCGCACGGCACTCTAAACCCACCCAAAACCTGGGGTCAGTCCGGAGAGACTACAGGTAAACAATCAAAACCCGATGCCTTCTCAGTCGTTTTGTTGGGATGAGGCTTACCCAAAGGCCCCAAAGTAGTTCCTTTTTGGGGTTCATATTTAGACTTCTATAAGGTAATCCCAAAAAGGAACTACTTTGGGGCCTTTAGGTACAGTGCTTCCAGCTCATTGCTTTTTCCTGGTGGTAACCGGCGTCAAGGCTCCAGTAATTCGTTTCCCTCAACCTTGGTAAATCAATTTAAAGACCCCCAATCCACGCACAAAGCCCGAAGCCCTAAGTCCTATGTGGCAGGACTTAACTGGGAAATTAGTTGCTGAACGCGACACTTTGCATAGATCGGGTCATCTCGCTGATCGTGTCAGGAGTTTACTACCCCTATGACTGGCTGCAGACGCCGCCCGGCAGCAGGGTTTTTTTGCCTCGTGTTGGGATTGCAGTAGTCTGGCGCCTTTTCGTGTCAGGGGTCAGGGGGGTCAAGTTCCGACTGTGGGGCATGGATAGGGGAAGGAAGAGTGTTCGGCACTCTGTGGGTTTATGGCCGCCATGCAGCGGTAAAGGATACTTTCTGCAGTAGGAACTGTGCACTAAAGTCTGGGCTGGACGCCACTGCGCCACTCCAAAATTTGGGCTTTCCCTCGAAACTCTAAACCCTAACCCTAATGTCAACAGGACCTCTTGACTCTGAAACTCTTATAAATGAAGGATCCGGGCTCTGGGGGCTGTCGGATGGGATGACACGCTCAGATCGTGTTTTTTGGGCTTAGTGCGAGCTTAAAGCCACACTGCAAAGTTGCGAATGAACCGAAAGAGGCCTCAAACGATGCACCCCGAAACCCCCAAGCCCTAAGCCCTAAACTCCAAACCCCTGAGCACCGAAGCCCCGAACCTGACATAGTCCCTATCTATAGTCTCCATTGTAGTTAATTTTGTATTAAGGATCCTAAAAGGTAACCCCAAAAAGGAACTACAATGGCGACTATAGGTATCTCAGGTTTTTCCTCGGAATGACAGGCTCGGTGGACTGCCCCAAGCCCCGACCTAGCAAACCCTCAGCCCTACGACTAAACTCAGGGTTTAGGAGTTTAGGGTGTGGGGCTTTAGGGCTTCGGGTCTAAAGCGTTTCGAGGTTTCGGGGTTTGGAGCCGGTGTACGGTAGAGGCTCAGCCACGAAGATGGAAGCAGAAGGCTCGAACCAACTTGGAATCTGTGCAGAAACTTCCCCACAGCTCAAGCCGCGAATCCTAAACCTCTGGGATCTTGAATCCTGAGCCGCGCAATGGTACATGCTATGGGTTTAGGGACTAAGCCCGGGAGTCCTAAATCCGAGGATGGCTTTCTACGATTGGGTCAACATGGGCTTGCCAACTTTCGTTCCAGACACTCCAATGTACACCTTCACCATCCTCGGGACAAACGACAGGCCCTCCGAAGTCGGTTCAGGGTTTTGGGATGAAGTGTTTGAGGCTGTTCATGTTGGATTAGGGGCTTCAGGGTGTGTACGCGCTGCTGGTGAGGTCGGAATGGGGCCTGGTGTGTCGTCCTTCTCCGTGACTGCGCGGGTGTGTGTGTGTGTGTGTGTGTGTGTGTGTGTGTGTGTGTGTGTGTGTGTGTGTGTGTGTGTGTTTGTGTGTGTGCTTGTGTTTGTGTTTGTGTTTGTGTTTGTGTTTGTGTGTATGCATATACAGATATATAAACTGGCATGGTGTATGTATACATATATATATATATATATCTGTATATGTATGTATATGTATATGTACAGGTACAGATATAGAGATGTAGTCTATTTCAAAGTGATATGGAACTTGCTAAGTAGATATTTCATGCACTCTTTCTCGCAGTGTGCCTTTCCTAGTACCTAGCGCTATCGGGTGTCGCCAGGAGCCTAGGACGTTGGGACCTAACGATTTGTTTAAGCAAGGTTCAAATGCAGGAGGCCCTAATCAGTAGTCATGAACTCTTTATGTAGGCCTGCATCCTGCGTACAGGGTTTCAGAAGAGTGACTGTAGGCCTTGAAACCGTAATTTGCATCCAGTTTGGTGTCCGAAAAGCCGATCTCCAAGTGATCTGCGGCCTGGAACTGTAATTTTGATGTGACCGGGAGCCTGGAAAAAGTGATTCCAAAGTGGTTTGGCGCCTGCAGAGCACACTTAGTATATATATATATATATATACACATATACATACATACATATACATATATATATATATATATATATTAAATCAGATTTTGAGGCCACTTGTTCCACCCGTGTCCGATCCCTTTGTCTTCAACTTTTGCTCATGCTCCAGATCGCTTGTTTTCCACTTCTCCTCGCACCTGAAGCATTTTGTAATCACTTTTCCGCGACAAGTGTTTTGTCGAATCCCATTGTAAGGGTACTTTCAAATCACTTCTAGTCAACAAAAGACTCAAGGAAATTCCAACGGTTGCTCAGAAGCGGCGTCACAATATGTAGATGTATGTATGGGATGTCAGAGGATTCTCGAATCATGTGCTTCTCTTCTGGACATAAATCAATGCCCATATCCTCGAAGGGGGTGCCGAGGTAGCCGGGAGGATCCCCCCACTCAAGCAAGGGTTAACTAAAGTCAAAGGTAATCTTGAGTTAAGGTGATATAAGAACCTGATGAAGCAACCCAGGTCCTTTATTAGAGTTCAATATACTATGAAGCCTAATATTTTGGGGGTTCGAGGGTGAGGATTCGAGGATTTCTTAATCGCGTTCATACATTTTGTAGGTTTGTGTTCCAGGGGATTTCATTTGCAGATGGCTACTGGACGCATTACAGACAAAGCATGCTTGCGGTTCTTGCGGAAAGGCGATCATCTCACGTCTGCGCCAAACCCTACGCCCCCAATTTTGGACTCTTACCTAAACCCCCCGAAAGTAGGTAAAATAATGGCCCGATACCTATAAATGGCCATCATTCTACATACTTTGGGGGTCCAGGTAGCGGCGTTTCACTTGGATCGGAGTCTGCCACTGTGCAGGAATTGGATCGAAACTATCTTCGATCCCCCGTGGCTTAGCCAAACTTGGAGCAAGTGCTTACAGCTTAATGTAGAGGCCTTACTATAATCATAGTAAGGAGGCCCTAAAATAGTGTTGGCAAGTCTTTAGGCACCTACATGGGGGCTTGTTGGAGGGTTCGATTTCTTGACCTTCTAAGGCACAAGAATGGTACTCTTTTGGTGTAGAGGTTTGATTAAGTGGTAATCACGTTCTGTGACAGGCCTGAGCCCTCAGTCCTGAAAATTGGACCTCAAAAGGGAGTTTCCTATGCTTTCGAGATATATCGGGAGCTGTGGCCGAAGAAGGGTGTCGTTCCTCCTCTGCGAGGCAATGGAGTCCGAACCCCATGCCTTCATCCCGAGGCTTCCAAGCCTGAAGCCTTTTTGAGAAGTAGCATTATACCCAAATCCCCCTCCCAGCCCCTCCCAAAAAACACAAAAGCAAGATGCTAAACCCGACAGCCCTAAAGCCGAAGCCTTAAACCCCTAAAGCCCTCACACCCGAAACCCCTGAAGGCCTAAGCCTCAAACCCTAAACTGAACCCTTCACCCTGCTGCCAAGGAAGCATTTGTACCCATACGAGTACCGAGACTGGGAGGACCTCGAGAATCGCAACTCGCCTTTTTTAGGTCTTTACAGGGAACTCCAGAAAGTTGGAATATGGTTTCAGGGTAGGATCCCCTATAATTTACCATGAAGGGTTTATATAGGATAATCATATTCCAACTTTCTGGCTTTTACTTTAGGGTTAGGGCTTTAGGGTTTCAGGTTTGGGGTTTCAATGTTTCAGGTTTAGTGTTTCAGGTTTAGTGTTTTAGGGTTTAGGGTTTAGGGCTTTAGGGTTTCAGGTTTAGGGTTTTAGGGTTTAGGAGTTTAGGCGTTTTAGGGTCGAAGGTTTAGGGGGTTTAAGGGTTTTAGGGTTATGGTTTAAAAACTTCGCGAACCCTTGGTAAGGTGCGGGGTCTCACAGCTGTGGATTTTTACTGGGCTTCCATATCTTGTGCGCGTAATCCTAAACCGCCAGTGGTAGGTCAACGTCAATAGCATGCGAGCCTAAGCAGGGCATGCAGTTTTCTTTTGGAGTGGGGCATGGTGGAAATCTGTTGTTTACTTACTCGTTGCAGTGCATCATGTCAATCGAATTGATGCCCTTCTGGGTGCCTCGGACTGGGTGGAGGTGTGGGTGGAGGTTTCAAGGCTTTTGAGGTACTTTGGTGTCACTGTGTGGCGAGGCTCAGATCACCAACCTTATCCTTAACCTTGACCAGAGACGACGTTGGATAGGATCCCCCTTGCCACCCATATCAGAAACCTATAGCTCACGTGTCTATGCTACTAAAGTGTTCTAGGCAAGGTTTTCCTCAGCGTAAAGCACATTGCAAGACGACACTCAGGTGTGTACTGGTGGCACATGACCGACTTTAAGGCACAGCAGCTGCTGCGTTCTAAGCCCGAAAATCGGCACCCTAAACTCCTCTGCCTCCATACCCCACGTTTCGATTAAACAGGATCTTTGGGTAAGAGTTCTTAAGCCTTTAAAGGAGCCCCTCGTAGGAACCCTTAAAAGACCCCTGAAGAAACCCTTGAAGCAGCCCCTTGAAGGAATCCTTCAACGAGCCCTTAAAAGTGAGTTTGAGGCCTTTTCTCGTTTACAGCGTATTGGAACTGACCCCAGCCCTTGGGTTCGAGAGTATAACACTAAAAACAATAATGCAATAGTTATAACACTTTTAATCAATAATGACAGCAGTACAAAAAGAAGAGTAATACTGTGATACGATGATAATAAGAACAAGAATAATGGCAATGGTAATCATCATCATCATAATGAGAAAAACATGAATACAACGACACTGATGATAGTAGGTTTATAAGAAGTAGGGTTTGTAGGTTTGAGGAAGGCCTGCCAAGCCCTATCCAGAAAGATGGGAATCATGATTGCTAACCCCTAAGCCTAGACCCAGATCTTGTGCGCTGCGGCCCCACCCGTCAGACAACCATCTACAGCAGTGCACCTTCCGGTTCGAGGCATAATGGCAATGGGCACGCGGGGATGCTTCCCAAAGGTACCTTATGCTGACTTAACAAGCTTTAGACACACCTTAAGCTTGGACCACCAACACCCCCGAACCATGAACAAGAAACTCATGCTTTCCTGCGAGTTGAGCTATGGCGACTCTTGCAGGGAAGTCCCGCACGCCTTATTATCATTGCGGTATAATGGGCCCCCAAATCCTATTCTAACTGTTGAGGCCTCTACTGTATGCACAGTGCATTCCGGAAGCAATCGCGCAGCCGTGAAATCTTAATTAGTGGAGAGAGAGTGGACGTGTAGCGGAAGCCGTACACTAAGCCTGCTCCTTTGCTACATGGGAATTTCCGAAAACAGGGGACCCTAATCTGAGACCCTAAACCTAAATTTTTGGAAACTCCCACCTGGGATTTCGCTTGATTACGGCCCCCACTCAGTAATAGTTGAATAATATTCATAATATAGATATAGTAGGACCTTAATAGTCGCCCTATTATAGACTCTTACTGTATGGGGGCCGTACCTAAGATTTCCTAGAAGAGACCGAAGCCAGGCCCTTCCTTCGGTACGGAGCTTCACCTCAGCTGCGCAGTTATTTACCCTCCTCCTGCAGGCGCTTTTGGGGAACTCACTTCAGGGTTTAGGGTAGAAAGGGTTTTTTGGGGCTTAGGGTTTATAGGGCTTTTATAGGGTTTGTGGGGCTTATAGGGTTTACGGGGCTTATATGGTTTATGATACTTTGGGTTTATAGGGCTCATAGGGTTTAGGGTTTATGGTGTTGAGGCAACGGTTCAGGATCATAGGTAATTGGATGCTCTTATACCGGAGGGGCTTTTGGCGTAAAGGGTAGTAATCGAAATTTATGTCCCTCTTGGATATGGTCTGATCTGGACGTTATCATGGTTGGCCCATGGATGCTCTCCGGCAATGGATATGGTCTGATCCGGACGTGATCATGGTTGGCACATGGATGTTCTGCGGCAGTGGATATGGTCTGATCTGGACGTGATCATGGTTGGCCCATGGATGCTCTGCGGCAGTGGATATGGTCTGATCCGGACGTTATCATGGTTGGCCCATGGATGCTCGGCGGCAATGGAAATGGTCTGATCTGGACGTGATCATGGTTGGCCCATGGATGCTCTGCGGCAGTGGATATGGTCTGATCTGGACGTGATCATGGTTGGCAGTGGATATGGTCTGATCCGGACGTGATCAAGGTTGGCCCATGGATGCTTTGCGGCAATGGATATGTTCTGATCCGGACGTTATCATGGCTGGCCCATGGATGCTCTGCGGCAATGGATATGGTCTGATCCGGACGTTATCATGGTTGGCCCATGGATGTTCTGCGGCAATGGAAATGGTCTGATCTGGACGTTATCATGGTTGGCCCATGGATGCTCTGCGGCAATGGAAATGGTCTGATCCGGACGTGATCATGGTTGGCCCATGGATGCTCTGCGGCAGTGGATATGGTCTGATCTGGACGTTTTCATGGTTGGCCCATGGATGCTCTGCGGCAATGGAAATGGTCTGATCTGGACGTGATCATGGTTGGCCCATGGATGCTCTGCGGCAGTGGATATGGTCTGATCTGGACGCGAAAACCTTCGCACTTGCTTATCTCTGATCTCGCACTCTAGCGGATGTGGCCCGGGAGACCGGATGGGCGGAGGCGGAGGCGGCGGAGGAGGCGGAGGAGGAGGAGGCGGAGGAGGCGGAGGAGGAGGAGGCGGAGGAGGCGGAGGAGGCAGAAGGCGGAGGAGGTGGAGGAGGCGGAGGAGGCGGAGGAGGCGGAGGACGGGGAGGAGGAGGAGGGGGAGGAGGAGGAGGGGGCTTTCCCCAAGTTGGAGCACTCCAAGGGAGCCGCTTCGCTTCGAGCTTTTTGCTTTTTCAACAACAATGACATGAGTGAGTGTTTTTGTTGCTTGACTCAGATTTCTTTACAAGAACAACAACAACAATGACATGAGTGAGTGTTTTTTGCTTGACTCAGTACATGTCCGTCGTTGCCATTTTTTGTCCCAACAACTTGTAGGAAGCCCGGCGGGGCCATGCAGTCTGAGCTCGCCTGAAGCAAGCTCCGCTCCGCTGCTGGCTTCCGAGCCTTGGAGTCTTCAGAATTTCTTTTTGTTTTGAAAGGCTTTTTAAGTTAGGGGTTTAGTGCAGCAAAACCAAGAACCGAAGGAATGTTTGGCCTCCCGGGCCGCCCGCCCAAGCGGCACATCACCGCCCCCCCCCCCACCCCGCCCAGCCAAACGGCGCCCCCCCTCCACCACCCCCTCCACCCCTGCAACACGAGCACCACGAGCACCACCAGCACTGCCCACCACGTCACCCCCAAGGTCACCACGAGCACCACGATCCCCACCACGACAACCTGCACCACGAGCACAACGAGTACCCGGCCCGAGGCTTTACTGTACTACGGCCGGGTACAGGGCGAGGCTACTTGGCTTTGGTCGAAAATTGTAGTCTTTGTTGGTTTTAGAACGTAAGAGTATTTTTCTAGACACTATAGAAACTTCTAGAATCTACCCCTAAGGGCACCGGGGCGAATGCG